AGTGTCAGCTTACCTTTGAATAATCGATTGAAATAGCAATTAAATCAATACAAAAAAATTGAATGTAAACAAATTAAATGTTAACTTATCTTTGAATTATTTTTGAATAATTCAATAGATCAACATTATGTAAACATAATAACTTGTCACTACACTTATTGTATTAAGATACGTAAACATAATAATTGGAAAAATACTTATGCCTCAATCAGTTCGTGGGCATATTTACGAAATGTAATCCTTCCTTTATAATCAGTGATAGAGTTCTTTATTTTCATATGTTAAAACCGGTTTCCAATCTCTAATCAGTGATAATAAATCCTATATTGAAAAATGAAAATGCCCAATATCCCATGAATAGATATGAAAATTTGAATCAGCACAAATATTTATGTCTGAACATCATGCTTTTACTGTCATTTGGTACAAATTTTGAATATAAGAATTTTAAAACTTAATTGTGAAATAGACCATGAGAAAAACAGTAAATATGGATTCATATGAACTCAGGCGTGATCAAATCGTGCGCAGAAGTTGCCTGTATACAGAAGAAAGTATTACATATGCCCTGTGATGGTACTGTGTGTGAAATTCCTGATATGCATTCACATCCCACTTTGCCACATTTATTATCAAATAAAATGCAGGATTTTTTGGACACATACTACTTAATTTGCGATAAAACCATATACGTCGTTAAATTTTTAGTATCACTCCATTCTTAGAATATTGTTGTTTACGTTCCTAGCTTTTAGTGCGACGGCATCTCGCAGCTACCTTATTTTTGAAACAATAAGTAAATTTTATGATTTTCGTGTAATTGGCGATCATCTTCCGATCACAGTAATTTGAAAAGCACGATACGTAATTGTCATACGTAGGGTCATATTTTTTTGGGGTATTTTGATAAAAATAGTCAATAAATTGAAATTAATCAAAATTGTATTAAGATAACCTATTTTGATCCTTTAAAAGATTCAATACTCAACTTAGTATTCAGTAAAGTAGTACAGTACGTACGACTAATATAATATAGACTTGTAAAATTCAATTTTTATAAGCAACCATTTTTAATGGTTAGGGTTAGTGTGAGTTCTAGTAGTGTTCTTTTTCATGTTGGTGTAATTAGTAAAAATAACATGGGCTTGACGAAGTTTTTCTTTTACAAACCGTACGTACTATCTTGATTTCTACATGTCCGTCCTAATTTACGTTTCCGTATCGTACTACTTTACTATATACTCCAAAACTTAGTACACGTACGTACGTACGTAAAAATCTATAATTACAATAAAGTTTGAACATGTTTATATATTTGGATAGGACATGCCAAAAAGGCTTTGAACATAAAAAATGTACAACATTGATACGTACAATAGGAAAATTTTTATTATATATATTTATACATTTCATTGATAGATGCTCTATCGCTACAAGGTTTTCTTGTTGAATACATTCACACGGAGTTCAAATTTAAAGGAAAGCAAAATAGATATAACATGAATTAAAATGTATATGATTGCAATTTTAGGGCCAAAAATTTTTAGTTACAAGTGCCTTAACAAAATAATTACATCCTTTTTACTATTAAATAGTTTGAAGAAGACCTTATTTATCCGAAAATGAATAAAATTATCAAATGTTGTTGTTGCATTCCTTTGAGAACAGGTGTTATTATCATAACACTGTTTTGGCTAGAAAGTTTTTTTTTTTTTATTCCAGCACATAAACTGTTTAACTCCTTAAATGATGATAAATATTAATAATATTAATAATATTCAGGTTGAAGGAATAGGTTATTCCATCCAAGACACAATAGATATTATTAACTACTCTGTCTGTAAGTTTTTTTTTATCTAATTCATTTTTTGCTTGTCAGCCAGTTTTAACGTTTTTTTTCTTTACCAGTCATTGAGAAAGGTATACATACTATTTCTATAGTTGTGGATACTCTATTATGCTTAGTAGCCGCTTTTGGGTTGTTTGTTATTTTCGTTATGGTATGAGATGTTAAATCTTAAAATCTTAAATGTTAAAGATTAAATCTTAAATGTTAAAGATCAAATCTTAAATGTTAAAGATTAAATATTAAAGATTAAATATTAAATTAACTAGTTGTTTATTTTAAAACAAACAGAAAACTTCATATCTTTTAAAGCTCTACGCTCGATTTGTTTATGCTCTTATAATACTCAGATCTTTAAATTGTCTCTATACCGTTGTTATCTTTGCTTCATTTAGAAATGAATTTATGAACTTTTGTAAAACATCGTACAACCAGAGTAATGTCGATGAAACCCAGACTCTTCGCCTTTGTAATATTGCATATATTACCTTGTTATTATCAACCATTTTTATAAGCGTTTTTCTCATTATTATTACGGTATAGTTATTTTTTCGAAATTCAATTGGATTTTAATTTTAAATATATATTATATACATATTAATCAAAATTTTTGATTACTGTAGATTTATTTTGCAATGGTCATTAATGCTTATGCAGAAAAGCGTAAGGCTAAAGAAAACGGTGATTACACTTCATCTGATGTTATTGAAACGCCTGGATCCAATCTTAATAGTTAAAGTCTGGAATGTTGAATTATTTGTAGAAAATTTTACATACTGTAGAATATTTATCATAACAGATAATTTAAGTACCTACGAAATAATTATATTATAACGCATGTAATCGAAACACTATACTCCTTTAAATATTATTTAATTTAATTCGTGAGTACAAAACTTATACAAAAAAATGAAGAAGACATGCATAGATTTATCGAAATTTAAAGCTATCTAATGCATTATTCATATTTACGTATTTGTCGATTTCTTGAATAATTTCAACATAATGTTATTACAAGAGCTTCTTTTAAAGAATTGGTGAGTTCATTAAATGCTCCCAGACTCATGGCAAGATAATTTCCCTTACATCCTACACATCGATCTACATTTATAACTTCTAGTTAAATCTTTCTACAGCAATTTGAAATGTCACATATAGTTAATGAATAAAATTTAGTGAATTTCGTGATATCAATTCGATAAAAATGGTGTTACCTAAATGACTAGAAAACTATCCATTCAATTATACATTTTTTGTTATGCGGTTATACATCCCTGACCAGGTTTTTTATGAACTAAATTCGGAAAAATAATAACCTCAAAATTAAGATAATCGTCACAAAATTAAGATAATCGTTCATATTATCATTAAAAAGCTTTAAAAAAGTGAATAATAAATTGAATAATAAATAGACAGGTTTCGAAGATTTTAGGAAATAGTAAAGTTGATTTTAAAAAAAAAATTTAGCATGCAGCATCGCACAAATAATGACAAGGCAAAAAGGATTACATATTATATATTCGCCATTAAGATAATTAAATACAGTAACTACATGTGATTTTTGATTTTTCGCCGAGTTACATCAGCAATTAATTGCTATTATTTCATTTCATGATAATTTTAATTGATTTTAATTGTATGATGTATAGAAAAGTTAATTGCAATTAATTTCGGTAGGCCTGCTTATTTACCCGAGTAGTAGCAATTGAACATGTCGCCACAAAATGATCAGCACGAATAATTGCAGTGTGGCTTAGACATACCGTAGAAGTGGTACGTACAAACCTCGTTGGTTACAATGCTATACTCAACATTCGTAACTATTCTCCTAATGCATTTTATATATCAATCATCAATCAATGAAGAGTTTATATAATTATGAATCAAAATAGTAAGTTTATACTCTTTTTGTCAATTTTTGCGTGATGAAATGTACGAGTTGTCATTTTGTATGTATGTATGTGCGTACGAATTTGTTGTAACTTTGTGCGTTGTTATTCGCGGTTACAATTTCGTAATTTTCTTCAATTTTAATTACTTCATTTCTACGACGGGTTTAAATGTTTTTTCGATTACTTCGTTTCTTGAAATACATTCTTTTATTCTTTTTTTTCCATACATAATTTTTGTGATTACGATGATTGCGATTAATAATCTTTGTCATCTTTCTTTAGTTGTGCATTCGAATTAAATATTAAAATCATACGCATAACAAATAAATGCCAATCAAGTTTTTTGAGTTTCAGTTTCACCAAACTACTGTATCCAATTTCCCACGGTTTAATAACACTCGATAATTAAAGTCAAACATCTTTTGTGCCTACGACCTAAGTTAAATCCTGTTAAAAGAGTTATAAAAGCTCAAGTCGCTTTCATGGTCGTAACAATGTACGCACGTACGAATTTGGAGCTCGTCTAAAACTAACCAATTTTTAAATCAACTATTAATTAAATGATAATATATAAAATATGCAATATAGAAATTCCGAATTTTTAAATTAAATCCATATACGAAGATATATTTAATGTTTATTTAGTTTATTTAGCTACGAGCACTACAAATAAAAAGTCATTGACTTTTTTTTTACAAATTAATTAGAGCATATCATTATGCAAACAAATTAAAAATTAAATTTTGAATAATTCTTGGCAAACTGAATACGTAGTTCTTGGCAAACATGTATAAACAATCCTAATATAGTAAATGAATTCGTCAAAATGGCAATCTTAATATAGTAAAATGAATTCGTCAACGTGGCAATCTTAATATCGATATAGTGAAATGAATTCGTTAAAATTGTAATTAGGCAATACCTTAAATAAACTTATAAAAGTCTGTTGTAGAAAATTTTATACCTTACTATGAAGATAATTCTTCTCCCTACTTAATATGAATACAATAAATTTATTTTTATTTATTCTATTTCATGTTTTACTAGCTCAAGCTGGTACTGATTTTAGCACTTGTTTGGCTAACGATAGATATCTCACTCTATCTTCATTTGTTGCTAATATAGCTGATAAGCAAACCTTCTGCTGTACTAATACTCAGTGTAGTGCTAAATCGCCAAATTGTCCCTTTATTGAAGATCTTGATGGTCAATGTCTTAACGTTGGCCAAACAAAATTTTGTGTTGTTCAGGGTATTTTTAATGGGCTTCCTGGTGGTCTTCCAGGAGATGAATGTGGTGGAATCATAGGAACTACTACCCCTGCTAATACTACTGTAGGCACATGTCCTAGTTATGATGCAATAGGAAACGCTTTGCTTAAGTCAACAACTGCCCCTACTTTTAGTTGGTTATGTTGTGATAACAATGCATGCACCGTACCAGTTAATGTGATAGTATGTATTTCTTAATTATTGTTTTCACTACTCATTAAATATGCTTATTACATATTTTTAAATATCTATCTTTTCTGATTTAAAATAAATACCTAGATTACTCGTAGTCAGGCAACTACAAACTGTGCAAGCACTCAGTATAGCTTAATGTGCTTTAGAGATAATGGTTGCTGGACATGTACTGGTTCTAATGGATTAACCATTATTGATCTTACTCAAGCAATCGGGGGATGTACGTTGCAATTACTTTTGCCCAGCAAACCTGTTTAAACGTCTTCGAGTTCATCATCACAACTTTCATCAAGTTCAATACTCCAACAGCTAAGCCTAATGTATCTTCGCTTGGTAATCCTATTATTATCAAGTTGTATTATACATCTATTATTTGCAATCTAATCAAATAATTATATGTAAATACTGTATCATTGTCATTAATAGTATCAATAGTTATTATTCTTATTCTTATGTGTAGCTTATGCTGAAATCTGGGATCCCTGTAATACTTGTTAATGTCTACTTATTGTGCACTTTTTTTTTATTAACTTAATACAGTACCATTGAAAATTTTAACTGCCATAACCATGACTATTATTGTCATAATTATCAATAAGGTTTTGATTATATAATTACATATGAATATTAATAATTAACATCTATGTTTATTTATTTATTTATTATTATTGTTTTGGCATTTAAACCTTCATTTTTGTTTCATAATGTTTACTAAGAATTTAGTTGAATTGCAGTTTAGTTTGGCATTCCAATAATGATAGCATACTACTTATCAAAAAAAAATAATGATATGTCCAAAAATAGTTTCAATTATGGCTGCATTGAATGAATGTTTGCAGATACGTATTTGCATTTGCTTGTGTGCGAATATTTCAATGTGTTTCGAAATTTTTCATAATATATTTTAGTATGACATTTTTCTTGCGCAATACTAATAGCGTTTACTATATAATTACATAATGGCTTTCTTACTAATTATATGATAATAGAAGCATTTCGATCAAGCGAACCTCAATAAACCGAATTCGTTATTATAATGAATTTTTTCTAGCTAGAATTTTTTTAATTTAAATTCCCTCGATATAGTGAATTTTAATATAAAACCTTAATATATTAAAAAATTACCCTAATATAACAAATAGCTAATAAAATAAAACATTTTGAAGTATACTAAAACTTAATATATCCTGATTGTAATATATTTTTTCTTTCTTATATTGTTTCTCTTATCTCTTTGATATGAATACAATCACAAATAAATAGTAAATTAAATGTAGATCTAGTAATATTTAAAAAAAAGAGTTATTTTAATTAATAGTTAATGGTATGAATTATGTTTTCTGAACAAAAAATGAACCTTATATTAAAAATTGTAACTTTGTAACTAAGTTTTGGATTAGTAAATCTTTATATAATAAAATTTTAACCAAATCAAACTACTAGTTATTTATTAATCTAAATTCTAAGTAATAAAAAATAAAAAAAGAAGATTGCTATTTATTACCACTAGTGATCATCACCAGTGTATAATTAAATTTGCACGATTGAGTGCAACGTGCAAATCAGTTTCATATAACAAAACAAATAAATTTTTTAAAAAATCAATTATATCGCTTATTAAATCACCCTTCAGGCTTAATATAAAAAAATTTCTTGCAAACTTTTACTATAGCTTTTTTTAGCTTTATTATCAAACTCTTACCTTTATCCTAATATCAAAACAGATAAACTTTTTTGTTTAAAAAAATTTACATGTTACACCTAATTATATATGATGATCACCAGTGGTAATGTGTAGTAATTTTCAAAAAAAACTTATTTTTCTATTAGTTATTATATTTGAACAGAATATATTATTACAAATACACAAATACTAACTAATCATTTTATTTAAAACTAGAACTTGCACATGTGGCGACTTCGTCGCCAAGGTTTAATGTATTTACTGAAAGATAAGAAATCTAGATAGAAATTAATATTATATTATCAGTATAGAAATTACTGGCATAATTTTTTTGTTTAAATATAAAATTATCATACTTTTTTGGTTTATCGTACGTATAAGGTACCAAGGATAGTATTAATCATATGACATGTATGCGGCTTCACCGCCTAGGCTTTATGAACAAATTAA